TTGAAGTAGAAGGAAAGAAAAATAAACAATTGGAATGAATACCATGAGGGGTCCTCTCACTGGTCTGTTGTGGATTAAGTTTTTTTTTTTTAAAGCAGGAATTTTGCCACTTCAAGCATGAATTGCTGTCAACCCTTCACTCTCCACTTCCCCCACAAGATATGTCAAAGTCCAGATGCAAGACCCCTGGGAGCCATCACTCAGCCAGATCCAACATGCTCTGTTTCTCCTCTCAGACCCATCCAGGGTCCTGTGAATTCAGGTGACCAAAAAACTGTGGAGAAAATAGCAGGTGCCCCTTCAAAGAAATATTCACTTTGCATATAAAACAAATCCAGAGAGTCATTTTTTTGTTTTCTGAAAACCTTTCTAGTAAGTTGGCTTACTCTCTGAAGCAACATATAAACATTTGAATTCCGTTACATTTGTGAAGTACACCACGGTTTCAGACATAACACTGTCCTGTGAGAAGCACCTGTAAGTCATAGGGCCAATATGAATGTGACATTTCACGATGCCCTGCACTCACCAAGCAATATTTTCCAATGTTCACTCCTTAAATATTAGTTCCATGAGTTGATAGATTGAGTGGAGAGAGAGAGAGCTCACTATGTGCGTGGAAGATGGGAAATTCTTAGTTGAACAAAGTTAAGCAGGTTTTGTTATCATAGATGAACTGCTGTGCTGGGGGGACCCTAAACTTGTTGAGGTCTCTTCCCTCTCAGCTGCTCAAGGACACAGTTTCCCCCTTCTCTCTTACATAAAAATCTGTTTTCCCACCTTACTGGACTGATCCCTTAGCATCATATACCAAAAAATTTTTTAAAAGAACTTTTTCTTCCCAAATCCCTTCTGGCCACTGCTCATTTTTTTCTCATTCTGCCCTTCCAAGTCCCCCTCCTTTCCACTCAAATGTGAGTGTCATTCTCACCACATTGTGGAAATTGGTCTCTGTAGTCCCCAATGATATACATAAACTTCACTAAATCCAGGGATCTCTTACTTGTCTTCACTTTATTTCACCCACGAGCCACATTTGACACAATGGAACACCCCCTTCCTGGAGTCCCTTGTTCAGATTGCTCTCCACCACTACACACTGTAAGTTTTCTTCATGCCTCTGTGATGCATTCTCAATCTCCTCTTCTCTGTGACCTCTTCATGTTAGCTGGTCCCAGACTTGGTCTTGCTCCTCTGTACTTCTCTGTCTACACTTGCTCCCATGGTAGTACCATACCGTCTTAGAGTTATAAATACCACCAAAATAGTGAAGACACCTGAATTAATAGACCCAGCTGGGTCTCTCCAGTCTCTTAAAAAAATCTGCCTACTTAACACTTTCTTTGGTTTCCCAAAAGGCAGTTAGACAAGCCCCAAACTGAGTTTCTATTTTTATCCTGTAAACTTTCTCCACCCATGGTTTTTCTATCATATTTCAAGATAATTCTAGGAATCCAAGTACTTGGACCAAAACAAGGGAGTGTTCTTTGATGCCTGTGTATTACCTCTTCATCAAATCTTTTGGCAATTCTCTTGCCTCTATCTCCGGGTGCAACCAGATCCTCACCACTTTTCACCACCTTTTCTGCTACCACCCTGAAACAAGTGGCCACCATCTCTAACCTGAATTATTACACCAACCTTCTGAATGATTTCTTTGCTCCCACACTTACCTCTTACAGACACTTCCCCACACAACAACCTGAGTGAGTCTTTTATAATGTAGATCAGATGGTATCACTCCAACTCAACACCCTCCAGTGGCCTTTCATTTCACTCAGATCGCCTGCAACCACACAATCTCTGACCGGCTCTTTGACTTTATCTCCTACTCCCCTTGCCCTTGTACACTCAGCTCTGCTGACCTTTCATGCGCCCCAAGTCATTCCTACCACAGGGCCTTTGCACTGGTCTTGCCTCTGCTTGAGAACACATTTTTCTCTTGTGTTTCTGTACCATTTCAAGTCTTTGTTCAAGTGTTTCTTCCCGGCAGGCTCTACCCCAAACACATTAATGATTTCAGCTCCCGCTCCTAGTACTTCTGATCCATTTATCTTCCTCTTCCCCAACTCCATAACACTTACTGCCTTCTAACCTTCCGTGCAAATTTCTCCTTTATTGTATGCGACTCTGCTGCCCTGGACTATGGGTGCCACAAGAGCAGGGATTTTTACCTGTTTTCTTTACTGATTCACCCCCAAGCCTAGAGATGAACAAATAGTACATAAAAGCTATTGCATAAAATGATAAATGAAGGAACATATAGCTTGTTCAGCAAGCAGCAGAAAACCATCCAAAAATGTTAGCAAGTGTGGTCTACAGTCCAAACTGTGCTTTAGGACTTGTACTCAAGTGGCTGAGTTCTTACAAGATCTCAGACTGTGTTTCAATCATTGCCGGTACTCTAAGCCCTCAAGAAAGGGAAACTTTTTGAAATGAGACATTAAAGCAGGATATGTGACAATAAAAGATCTCAGAGATTTAAGTCTTTCAAGGAAGTAAAATACCTCTTCACCTTTTTCAAAGAAGTAAAATAATATTCCTGAGGAACTCAGGTTGTGCTATCCCACTGAGTAAACTAAGAGAAGCAATTTCCCGACACCAGAATCCTACCCGGGCATTTCTCTAACTCCAACTTTCTAGGCATGAATGTTTCTCATACACAAGAAATTTATCTTCAAGGGGTGAAAAAGGCACATCCTTCTCAATCTCACTCAATGGCTTCTTTCTAACCCTCTTGCAATGTCTGCAAACCAAGCTACTGTGGTCGGTAGGAATAGAAAATTGATTATTCAGGCCAAATCCAGCTTTCTGTCAGCCCATTCACAGGAGTACATACTGGTCTTTTCAACACGCCTTTCTGGGAAACATCCTGAATTAGAGTGGACAAAGTAAACCCCTAGCCTTCTCTTGTGAACAGGAGCAGAGGAAATTTTCATCTTCCCACCCACATAAAGATGAACCTCTCCTCTTCCATGGGGAGAGATCATAGCATACTTTGGAGACAGAATAAGACTGTCAGAATGGGCTTTTTTGTAGATTCACTTTTTTTTTTTAAAGCAGCATCATTAAAGGTTGACTTCTCCATGTATCTAACATAGGTAACTAATTCTCAGAGCTCTCAGGCATTTGAGTTAGGTATGAAGCACTTGTGCACACCACCTGGCCAACAACAGCAGTTTTCTTGGTTTCTGCTCTCGGTGTTATCACACCCATGAAAAATGTTTTAGGAGCAGAAAATCACTAGTTGAAAATGTTCAAAGCCATAAGTATCAACGCTTTGAAAAGAAAGAAAAACTTTTGCTTTACAAAGAAGGAGTTTGAGAAGCTTACCAACAATCGGCCTAACAAGGCAGTCCCTGGGTGAAAATGACACCTTAGTCTCTTTCTTCCTAATCCTTTGTTCTTTCCACCACACTCTGATACCCCTGATAGCCTGAGATAAGCTTCATCAATCAGGTGGTCTTTAGTTTTTTATTCTTCCACAGTGGGAAGGTTCTTCCTGTAACATCCCCATCTGTATCAAAAATATGTTGATGAACTATTATGTATGAGGCAAATTACTAGACAGGAAGGAAGGAGTAAGACATCAGGTCACCTGTCCTTACAAATGCAGCCTGCAATCACATGGAGAGGCAGTCACACCATCTGCATGGCAGCCCAAGGCTCTGCCACAGTGAGGGGTGGGATGCACTGTGAGGTGTCACATGCAGTGTCTCACTGAAGGATGAGTGCTTGTCCCTATCCTCAAAACTAACAGAACACTCAAGCCTGTTCCTTGAATAACCCCACCTTCAGCCACTTACTTCTCAGTGTGCGGTTGGGAGAGCGAGAAGGTGGTACCATCAGAGCCAGCACGCAGAGACCGCAAATAACCTTAGTTAACCACGGCCAGGTGTGGAAGCAGAATGCTTGTGAGAACAGCATCCATCATGCGGAAAGGAAGTAATCCAAGCTGAGCCTGCCGCCTACAGCAGTGCAGTTCATCCTCTTTGACATGCTTTGAAATCCTCTCAATGTCTGGCCCTACCCAGGTGTCCAAGTTCCTCTTCACATTCGCTGATCCCCAGGCAAACCATAGTCTCCACTCCACTTCGCAAACACCCCTGCCTGGCATGGTCTCCCCAAGGGCTGCTCTAATGCTACCATGACTTCTCCTCCAAGTCCTCCTGTCCTGATGCTCCAACCCTTCCCTGAACTTCCTCTCTCTTCTCTCCTGTAGACGTCACCAGCCAAACTGTACATTTAACTCCTAAATGTTCTCAAATTACTGGATTGCTTCATAGGTGCCAAAGCCAAACCAAGGCCTCTGTGAAATCCCTTAAGCTACCCTGCTCAGCACACAGTCTATTTTTTTAAGCATTTGAACTGAAGAGGAAACAATCTTCCTCTGGTTCCCTGAGTAGACAGGTGAGCTCTTTGGTCAGACATGAGGACATTAAGAACTACAGGTTAGCCGGGCTCGGTGGCTCAGTGTGTAATCCCACGCCTTTGGGAGGCTGAGGTGAGTAGATTGCCTGAGCCCACAGGTTCGAGACCCGCCTGGGCAGCGAGACCTCATCTCTATAATAAATCAAAAAATCAGCCGGGCGTGGTAGCACATGCCTGTAATTCCGGCTACTCAGAAGGCTGAGGCGAAAGGATTGCTGGAACCCAGCAGGCGAGGCTGCAGTGGCCAGGAGTGGCCACTGCACTCCAGTGTGGGCGACCGAGTGAGACTCCAACTCAAAAAAAAAAGAACTACAGGTTATGCCTAATATCAAATTTAAGACTCTACTTGACAATATTATTTCAACCAACATATTTCTTCTACTTGAATAGCTCAAGTATGTAAAAAATGAATCTTAAGAAATTAAAAGAAGAGCAAATATTTTTCAAATGCTCCTTGGAATGACCATAGGAAAACTCAGAGTTTTCTCTACTCGGCTTTTCAAATACAAAGCCCTTTTCACTGGCAGTGGACACTGGAGGACAAAGTGGCCCTGGTCCAAGCTACTCACAGATCGCTGGTGTGGCAGGGGTAAGGGATCGCCTGGGTCTGTGCTGCTGGTTCCAGAGTTTCCTGCCCTGTCTGCACCAGAATGATGGCTCTTTCGATCATGTCTTGCAACGGGGCAAAGATGTAGTTATATTTAAACCCATCGGCTGGTAGACTCTGAGGATGGAACTTCCAGGAAGGATTTTTCACCATATCGGTTCTCATGCTGTACAAGACACTGGTTCGAATTGTATATGTGACATGGGGTGGCAGTTTGAGAGACTCTGATCTGAGGTTCTTGCTGAATAAGGAACTGTTGAATATGACACCTAAAGGGAGAAAAGAAAAAATGAAATATCACCCCAATGTAGGGAGCAGCTCACACTGTGTCTGCCCTGGGTAGCATTGGAAAGTTGGCAGGTTCGTGGGACTCACCACAGCTCTCCACTCCTGCAGATCGGAAGCCCATAACCTGGGGGGCAAAACCAGTGTTCAGTCACATAGGCAATTGGTGGAAAGCTTGAACAAAGACTTCCTAATTTCTAGTCCAGTGCTGTTTTTTGTTTTTGATGAAATCATGCTGTAGCGTCACCAATACACAGAAATTGTTTCTTTGGTACTTTTTGCAGGACTTTAAAAACTACACAAGGCTGCTCAAATAATCAGACATTTTTCTTCTCAAGTTTCAGATGGAACTCAGTGTGCAGAAACCATCTCTTTGGGGTTAATTATCATTCACAACTTAAATATATGGATTCTGTTTGCTACTACATGGATTCTTTGAATTCCATGCATAAAACCTATGAAGAGCTAAATTGTGTCCTCTTCTCCAATTCATATGTCAAGACCCTAACCGCAGTACCCCAGAATGTGACCATATTTGGAGATAGCATCTTGAAAGAGTTAATCAAGTTAAAATGAGGTCACTAGAGTGGGCTCTAATTCAAGATGAGGCTATCCTTATAAAAAAGGGGGAAATTTGAACACAGAGACATACATAGAGGAAAAAGAATGTGCAAAGGCACAAGGAAAAGATGGCCATCTACAAGTCAAGGGCAGAGGCCCAGAGAAGATCCTTCCCTCCCAGCCCTAGGGGAAAAACCAATGGATGCCTTGATCTCAAACTTCTAGCCTGCAGAAATATGAGACAATAAACTGCTATTGTTAAAGTTTGTGATACTTGTCATGGAAACTATAGCAAACTAATATGACGTCTTAATTAAAAGTAATTGAATGATTATTCAAAAAGGACATGCACGCACACATCATATTTATCTTGAATAGGTGACAATAAATAATGAAATTCATTGGCCATTGTCTTTTCTCTTCCCCTTAATAGGATATCAAGATACTACGATACAAGTCAACACGCCTATAATCCCAGCAATTTGGGAGGCCAAGGTGAGAGGATTGCCTGAGCCCACAGGTTTGAGACCAGCCTGGGCAACTTGGCGAGACCTCATCTCTACAATAAATCAAAAAAATTAGCCGGACATGGTGGTGCATGCCTGTAGCTCCAGCCACTTGGAAGTCTGAAGTGGAAGAATCATCTGAACCCAGAAGGTCGAGGCTGCAGTGGCCATGATGTGATGAAGGAAATTAGAGCATAACTTTAATCAGAAATAATATAATTTGTCCTGTGAGATTTCACCATAACATGATGTCACAAAGTGGGTGTAATGAGGAACACTGTTCTCAGAGAGGTGAAAATGCCATTAGCCATCAGAAGGAACAGCTTTTCATTAACTCAATGCAAATATTTTTGCTTTAGTTTATGCTTTATCTGAAAGGGGCTTTCTTTTTCTTTCTGAGCCACCATGAGACACCTTTCGGAAGGAAATTGCAAAATGACCACCTGTGTGAGCTGGTGCCTGTGTGAATATAGTGTTCCCTGAGTACTTACTGGCCAAGAAGTTGTTCTGTTGCATGAGCTCATGAGCTTTAGTTTCCAGAATGTCGACAGACTGCACAGCCTGGAAACGGTTCAACGCCACGCAAGAAGAGAGGTTGACCAAGATGTTGCCCAAGGAAAGGAAGTGCCCAGCTTTTGCATGGTCAAACATCTTATCCAGCATCCCACCTGAAGAAAGGGAACAGATTAAGACACATCAACTTCGGTTAGTGCTCATAGAGTAGAGATTGCATAACTGAATATGAATTCCTTCCCTAAAACATTGCTCAAAAGAGTCAAATGTTGATCATATGCACAATTCACCACTTATTTGCTGAGTGTAAACTCTCCCATTTTACATACATCCTCTGTGGTGCTGATACTTACCTGTAAAAGAAGATGAAACAGTTAAACACAAAGGATGATGCTGTAGCCCAAAGAAACATGGGGCAGAATAAATAACAGAGGGAAAGTCTGTGAATATCAGGGAAGACCCTTTCACAGAGAGCTCATAAAGAAAAATTAATAATAATGTTCCAACCTGGAGTCAAGTAATTCTAAAAGAGATATGCTTTGCCTGAAGCAGCAGGCACTTTGGGAAAGTCATTTTATTACATTAATTTTTAACAAACAATTATCAAGGAAATTGTTTGTTAACACTGAGGAAATTAAATACTCCTGTAGTGTGTATCCTGGATTTTTGCCTCTGAAATAGAAATATAGCAGTAGATTAAGGTTGGCGATATCTTAGCTGTGGATGCTGGTCATCAAACATTTTTCAGAGCAAAACACTGAGAATGTGTCGGTATGTGTGCTCTGGTTTCAGGAAGGAGCTGGAAAAAGCCAAAGATCTAGAGTAAGAGAGGGTGGGAAGAATGCCCAGAGCACAACCTGGAGAGGGAGCATAGTGTGAAAGATCAACGTCCATGAGTGGCAGAGCTGTGTTGGCCAGGTTTACTCTGTAGGAGGCCCTGCCAGCAGAAGATGTCACCACAACCCAGGGCCACTCCAACACTATAAGGTGGGGTGAGTGTGCCCCCCACCTCAGTGGTGCAAGAGGAAGCAATCCTGCTTGGCCCTGTCCTACAGAAGAGCTGTTCATCTCATTGGTGTGATGCTCACAGGAAGGGAATCTCCATCCACCCTGCACTCTGCTCCTTAATAAGATCCAGAGATTCTTTTTGTTGTTGTTTTTATGCTCAAGATTTTATAAAGAAAATAAAAGAATTGAACGTGCCTGGAAACATACACCCACAACATGCACAAAAACACATAGCAAATAATAAAACTATGTAGAAAAATCACACTGCAGGACAGCTGTCAGTCACCAGTGATCACCTTCTCAGTACTGGGAAGTGCTTTAATCTAGTCTCAAGCAGTGGGAGCACTCCAGCTTCTGACACATTCTCATCTCAAAAACTCTTATAAAGGCGTTAGGTCACAATTATCAACCACCCAACTCCAAATCTGTCAGACTGAACATAACCATCCGCTGAGGAATTCCAAGTCAGAAAGAAATGCAACCGTGATTAGAGTCTTCCAAGACATGGCTTACAAGAACATATGACACTATTGTTTTAGCATCCTTTAATTTTACTAAAGAATATCTTATACATTTGGGCAAGTGTTGACTGGCTAACATGCCAGTTGTATGTTATTTTGCTTTTAAATACATGAATGCATTCTCTATCCAAAAAACCTTGATGATGGTCATTCCTGGGAGCACTATAATCAGGCATCTCCTCACCAGACTTCCAGTGTGAGAATCCCAGTGTTCTGCTCAGAAATACCCTATGGAATGGGAATTCTCCAGGTGTGTCTTCAGCGTCAACCCCTGACTTTGTTTTTCTCCGTGGTCTGGAAACAACCTCTGCCTTTAAGCTCCATCACTTGCCCTTCATGGGTTGGTGGCAGACAGTGATCTGTCCCTGCCTGTCTCCACTGCCCCCGCTTGGTCCTCCTCTATCTTGCTGACCTTCTGAATGCTCCAGTCCTTCCAAGTGACAGCCCCCTTCTCCCTGGGCCCACTACCATCTTCCACCCCAGCTCAGAGCCTACCTGCCCTCCCCAAGTGTGTTCGTCCCAGGATGTGACAATATTAGTCACCCCTGTAGGCTGCCTCCGCCTCTCACACTCACTTCCCTCCTCGACCCATCTTTTCCCTGCTCCCAGGGCCTCCTGGCTTTGGTAGGTTTCTGGATCAATTGCTTGCTTGATACCCTGCCTATGAAAGGTAGCTTGGGGCCAGGCTCGGTGGCTCAGCCTGTAATCCCGCGCCTTTGGGAGGCTGAGGTGAGAGAATTGCCTGAGCCCACGGGTTCGAGACCTGCCTGGGCAGCGAGACCTCATCTCTACGATAAATAAAAAAATCAGCTGGGCATGGTAGCACATGCCTGTAATTCCAGTTACTTGGAAGGCTGAGGGGGAAGGATTGCCAGAGCCCAGCAGGTCGAGGCTGTGGTGGCCGGGAGCAGCCACTGTACTCCAGTCTGGGCAACAGAGTGAGAGTCCAACTCAAAAAAAAAAAAAAAAAAAAGAAAGGTAGCTTGGGACTCTGCCAAGTAGACTGAACCTGATTACATCAAGATCCATCTCCATCCCCCTGAGGTATGTGAAAAAAAAGTCAGTTAGCACACACTGTTCTCAATAGCTTCCTTGTTTAAAAAAAAAAAAAAAGTTATTTCCATCCATCAACTCCAGATGACTGAGTACTCAAAAATTCCAAACAACATCAAGAAGTGTCAGGATCCTTCTGCCACTCAGCTCCTCGATCTGCATTGCTCACTGTTTCTCAAAGAAAAGGTTGATAGTCATTGTTGTTGTTACTGTTGTTATCACATTACAATAATTTTCAGATCTCAGGTCAAGACATGAGTGTAAGGACTTAGAAAGGCTGGCTTTCTGATAACTAAGCTTTCACTAAATATCTATAACAACAGTGAGATGGCCAGTTGTGGTGGCTCACGCCTGTAATCGCAGAATTTGGGGAAGCTGAGGCGAGAGGACTGGCTGGACCCAGGAGTTCAAGACTAGCCTGTGCAACATAGTGAGACCTCATCTTTATTAAAAAAAAGTAAAAATTTACTGGGCGTGGTGACTATATATGCACCTGTAGTCCCTGCTACTTGGGAGAATGAAGCAGAAGGATAACCTGAGCCCAGGAGATAAAGGCTACAGGGAGCCATGGTCATGCCACAGCACTCCATCCTGGCTGACAGACTGAGACTCTGGCTCAAAATAATAATAGTAAGGTGGCATTGTCCAGTGTTAGTTATGTGCTGGGAACAATTCTGGGCAATCTTATGTATTGCCACATTGAATCCTTACATCTGTAGGGAATTGCTAATGCCACATTCATTTTAAAGGGTGGGAACTTGGTCACAAAGAGGATGAATAACCTGTAAGTTTCAAAACCATGATTCAGAAACATGTCAACTAGCTTTGGAATTCCTCTTCTCACAAATACACCAGGCTGCATTTATATTGGGTGGGAACATGTAAAACTAATGTTTAATAAATAAAATAAATACTTAAACATCAGAAATTCCAGACAACTCTTTCTAATATATAGTGGAAAGACTACATGATCTGGAGTTTAAATAATTGTGTTGCTTGTTTAATCCAAGATTATGGGACCTTGAAAGAGTCCATCTCTAAGCCTCTATTTTATCACCTACATTTTAGAAAGAATAAATATCTTGCTATTGTTTCCCAGAGAGAGATCAAGTAGAAAAAATAATATGAAGCCACTTAGTAAAATTTAAGCAGAAGACAAATTAACTATTGCCATTGGAATATACAGACACATCCTCATAGAAATACCCTCTTAATTCCTAGTTTAATAGGGTCTGAGGGTCTGGTTAAGTGAAGACAGTCAAACTGAATTCATAAAAGAATGTAACAAGCTCATCAGAAAACTCAATGAGAAGAAAATAGCTCAGGCCAGAGCTCTCAAATGGCATTCATAGCAGAAACATGGCAGTTTTCATTTCTTACTTAGTTTGATAGTCAACAGTTTCCAAGGTTTAAGGCAGGAAAGAAACTTTGGTGTTTGGATGATTTAATCAAAGAGAAACTAGAAGGATCCACAGCATCAGTTCTTCAGTCTCGATGTGTCCTCAGTCCCCCAACTGAATGGAGCATCTCAGAATACTTTGAAAAGGTTCTGAGCCTCAGAGCCACTGCGGTGGACACCAGCAAGATCTGGACATCAGCGCTGATTTGGAAGACTAGAGGTCAATGGTATGGTCTGGTCCTCCTCACTGAACAAGAGGTCACGTGTGCTTGGTTTGAAGAGTTTCTCTTATCATGGTGTCCATTTGGCCTGGAGGTGAGGACATAGGAGCTCACAAACTGTGAGTTGGGTGGAGTTGAGTGTCCGTTCGTCTCTAGCTAGTGGGCAACTGAGGCTGTTTAATCCTCATCCTCTTTTTGAAAGAACTATGTTTTTTAAAGTGAAATAAAATAAAACATGTAACATGTTTGACACTCACTGTGTCTGACACAGAGTAGGCGCCTAATAAACATTTCCTAGTATCACGGTATTAATATACTATATAAAATTGATTTCTGATAGAATAGCAGACAAAATACACTGCCTTTATCTTGCTCTAAGACTCAGATATAGGCTTAGGTAACAAAGTATAACCAAAGCAATATCCTATGTGGCAGGTGTATTTCCAGATTTCTAACCCTACCCCTACTAACCAAGATGGAAACTTTGTACCCCAAGGTCTCTACTGTGGAGATACAGATGGCAGGGGCTGGACAGCTGGCCTGGACTGGCTGATGCAGAGGCAAAGTTGACACCAGTGATTCCTAATCTTTTCTTGACCATTTTCTCTTTCTCCAGGTTTGCACTGTCTCTGAAATGGCCCTTGGCTACTGACTCCAGCATGTGGTGTTGACAATGCCTTGCTATATAGTCCTTCTCAAGCATTTCTACCCAGGTAGGAGGGTGAAGGGGGTACAGGGTGTGCAAGGGGAAAACAGAGATTCTGGATGGACCTTCCAGCATTGAACATTTTGTGAAATAATTGATTTTTATATGTGTAAATTGTGTCTGCTACTTTATATTTGTTTTAGTATAAAAGTATGTCTCATTTTCCCCCAAAATGCTGAAGCAAAGGTGATGCCTTGGGGAAATTTATTATGTTTGTTCCATGACCTTCTACGGGTATTGAGGTATC